CTAGAAAATATCAGAAGGCGAACGAACGAACGAAAGAAAGAAAGAAAGAAAGAAAGAAAGAAAGAAAGAAAGAAAGAAAGAAAGAAAGAAAGAAAGAAAGAAAGAAAGAAAGAAAGAAAGAAAGAAATAACGAACGAACGAACGAACGAACGAACGAACAAACGAAACATGTAGCAGGGACTTGAACCTAATTCATTTAATGTATAATTCTATTATCTATATCACTCTATTATTAATTCCTATGAACTAATTTTCCTCTAGATGATGATGAATGCTCTCTTGGTATAAGCGACTGTGACGAACAAGCTACCTGTATTAACACAATTGGCTCTTATAAATGTCAATGTAAACCTGGTTACATAGGAGATGGCATCGCTTGTAGAAGTGAGTTGCAAGTTTTTCTTCAGCAGAAAGATGAGCACTTTTGGAATCGCTTCAATCCAAGGAAATTCTCTGGAACTGGAATCATTTTCTTGTTACTTCACTGATTAAAAAGCATTCGGGCGCAACCGAATCTTGTCTAGAAAAACCGTTTAGAATCTTGACAACTCGAGAACAAGAAAGCAAAAAAAATTTCCTGTCCATCCTTGATATGGTGATAAAAAGCGTTAACATTCAAATTATTGTTCATTGGTTTTGATTGGCCGAAACAATAACTGCCTACAAATAATACCTGCTCATGCGCATTATAATGCAATGCCTCTTTTGCTGCAATTATAAGTCTGCTCATGCGAAGTAACATTGCATTTGTCAACATGGCTCGCTTCATTTTGACTTGGTATGTTTGATAGACAGAAAAAAAGCCAAAACGCTAAAACGTTTTCTATGGTGTTTATCCAACTATTAAACTCTAATTAACTCTGCCACTAACAACTCACGATATTTTTACCTAACCTCGACCAATAATTGCTTGTTATTTTATTTTCCAGCTCAAGGAACATGCATTCCTAGTTGTGATTCTAATGCTTCTTGTGCAGTCATTGGTGGAGTCAGCCGGTGCATTTGTAACCAAGGTTATTCAGGCAATGGCATCACTTGTTCAGGTACAACCACAATGCGATTGCCTTGATGGACTGAATAAACTTCATAGTGGATAACATAGTGAAACGAAAGTGGCCGGTAAACATTGGCGTGTAACAATGTACTGTTACCCTCTGACGTCATAGATTTTGCAATGTTGTCTGCCCAGTTGGCGGGAAACAGTTCTATTGTTTGATGTCAAGTGACCACGAGTCAACCAATGAGAGTTAGAGGAAAACACTCCAGCTTTGTAACGATAAAGTTTTTCTCCTGCACTTTCTATTCAACTGCTGAATGTTGTCTAACAATGAAATATCTCTTTGAAACAGAAATCGACGAGTGCAAACAAGATCTTGATGACTGTGATGATTACACAGGAATCTGTAACAACACCATTGGGTCGTATAAATGTAAATGTAAAAATGGCTACAGAGGAGATGGCATTAATTGTGAAGGTATGTTTTTATTTCTAAATATAACTCTAAACATATAATTTAGAAATTGTTCTACTAGTTTATTAGAACAGAAAATTCATATATCGTTTCAGCTTGCATATAATGTTTTTCGGTTTTAGTCAACTCGTCATTCCCTTGATTATTATCCCTTTTACCTGTTACCTATCCTCCTC